TGTAGAACTAAACTCTTAGCCATTAAAAATGAAAAGTATTGGAAATCTTCATTTAAAACTGAAATGGTAGCTAGAGACTTGAGTCCATTCACTGAGCTTATATCCTTTTTCTGGGTTTCCCCTTAATAAGATATAATCTGTATATAATGCCTCCTGGGCAGCTTAAATGTGAGTATTGGGCTCCAGCATTACCATTCACTGAAGAGTCATGTGACTTCCTTAAGGTCATTCAACTCAGTGGGGTAAGTTTTACTGTCTGTTATATATAAATAGTAACACTTCCTTCTTCCCCACCTAAAGAGTATTGTGAGGCTGTATGACTTAGTCAGTGAGTGAAAGAAGGCAATTCTTTAGAGCTTTTAGAGAATTACAGTGTTTATGTCTGCGACTCTCTAAGATTGATTTCTAAAACAAAATGTCAGAAATCAATACGTTTTCATGTTTTGGAATATTGTAATTCCTAAAAGCAGTTGCACTTATAATAAACACATGTCCCGGTATAACCTGTGACCAGCAGCTCTCCAGACTCTGATTCACTTCTATTCCTTTCTTTCAGTTCAGAAATCTGTATCTTGTCAAACATATAATTAGTGGTATTTATTAAATTATATGACTGCAGAAGATCAACAAACTGTACTATTAACATCCTGATTTAGAGCAAAACCTCACATTTCTTCTGAACCCTTCTTCCCTTCTACACCCTCCATTTTGCCACATAATTATCAGTTTCCCTAGCAACAGTGTCAGTTCACAGTGAGATGCAGGGACTACTAATTCTTGCTGAAGCTCATCCCTGCTTGCGCAGCAGAGGTGGAATCTGTCATCTGCGATGTTAGTAGTGTACATATCAAGAGCTGCTCTTCCAGTGTTGCTGCGGAGGACAGTCAGTGATAAATCTCCTTGAATTTCAAACTAAATGGCTTGGTCAGGAACTAGATAGGGATGCTCTGGAAAGCACTTTCCTAAATTGATCCTTTGCTTCTGTTGCTAGGGAACGCTGAAATCCTAGAGGTTTAGAAAAGGAAGTGAAATGTGGACCAAACACAGGCCATCCTGCATTTAAGGATCCCCCTCCAACAAACACAGTTTTGCAACAGGAGGGGTCCAGTGGCTGCAGTCAGTTCCCCAGCTCCTGCCCCTCAGACTCAGTGCTCTGCCTCCTGGGGACTGTCCAGCTATGATTTGCTTTCTAAGCACTGGATGTTTTACTGATAGGATGAGTTGATTAGCATATTTTCAGGCCTCCAGGCGGCTCATTGAAGCAAAAGGATTATCAATTATAGGTCAATGAAAACGATGTTAGGATGAAATAGTGAAAGGAGAAAGGAAGGGGAGAGTGAAGGAGTCAGAAAGGACAGAGGGAAGAAGAGCTGATAAGCAGCCATTTCTTCGCCTGCACGCATGTTCTTCTAGGACAGAGCTCCCCAGTTGCGATGGATTCATTATGTGGCTCTCCATATTGAATTATTAACAAAACTATTTTTCCAGCCATGCACAAGTTTACCCCATTAAAGTTATATCTGAACATCATTTGTTTGGTTCTCTATAAACTAAGCCACTCAAATATCTCATTAAATTTTTGATAGAACATATATTGCTCAATATACTTGAATGCTTTTTTCTTATAATATACTAGAGGCCCAGTGCACAAAAATTTGTGCACTCGGGGGGGGGGGGGTCCCTCAGCCCGGCCTGTGCCCTCTCCCAGTCTGGGACCCCTCGGGAGATAACGACCTGCTGGCTTAGGCCTGCTCCCGGGTGGAAGAGGGCAGGCCCAATCCCTAGATGCAGCCCCTGGTCGGGCTCAGAGCAGGGCCGACTGGGGAATTGGGGGGCCGTCCCCTGTCATGCACAGAGCAGGGTGGATCGGGAGGTTGCGATGCCACCCTCAGTCACGCTCAGGGTAGGGCCGATTGGGGGGTTGGGGCACCGCCCCTTGTCACACTCAAGGCAGGGCCGATGGGGAGGTTGCGCCGCCACCCCCTGTCACGCACAGAGCAGGGCCAATCAGGGGTTGGGGCGCTCCCCCCTGTCACTCACAGAGTAGGGCCAATAGGGGAGTTGGGGCACTGCCCCCTGTCACACACAGAGCAGGGCGGATCAGGGGGTTGGGGCGCCGCCCTCTATCACCCACAGAGCAGGGCTGATCAGGGGGTTGGGGCGCCTTCCCCTGTCATGAACAGAGCAGGGCAGATAGGGAGGTTGTGGCCCCACCCCCTGTCACACACAGAGCCGCAGGGCGATCGGGGTTTGGGCGCTGCCCCCTGTCATGCTGATCCCGGTGCCAGGAGGCCTCGTGGCTCCGCTGATCCTGGTGCTGGGAGGCGTATTACCCTTTTATTATATAGAATAGAGGCCTGGTGCATGGGTGGGGGCCGGCTGGTTTGCCCTGAAGGGTGTCCTGGATCAGGGTGGGGGTCCCCACTGGGGTGCTTGGCCAGCCTGGATGAGGGGATGATGGCTGTTTGCAGCTGGTCACACACCCTTCAGGGTGGGGATCCCCACTGGGGTGCCTGGCCAGTCTGGGTGAGGGGCTGAGGGCTGTTTTCAGGCTGGCGGGTGACTGAAGCTCCCAACTGCTCCTTTTTTTCTTTTTCTTTTTTATTCTGGGCCAACTTTAGCTCTGACTCCAGCTCTGAGGCCTCTGCTGCTAAAAGCAGGTATCTGGTTTGTTTGTGTTCTATAATCAAAACACTGTATCAACTCCAGCTCTGAGATCCCGGCTGACTGAAAGCAGGTTTCTGGGGTTTTGTTTAGCTTCTATATTTGTAACTATGTTTCAAACTGCAAGCTTAGAGGCTGGCAAGGCAGGCTGGGAACGTTGGTTTCCTCCATCACTGAAGCAAGCAAGCCTCATGTTAGTTTCAAGCTGCCTGGCTGCCGGCTGCCATCTTGGCTGGCAGTTAATTTGCATATTGCCCTGATTAGCCAATGGGAAGGGTAGCGGACGTACACTAATTACCATGTTTCTCTTTTATTAGATAGGATAAAGCAAATATAGCAATTATTTTTCATCAAGAGCCATAACAAACCCTAAATCCCTTCTAGTGTGTGGCCGTGTACTGGACAAATATAATTTTACACCTGTCCCAGGATGTGGAAAATAATTTTTCCCTACTGCCGTGTTTCACGTCCACAGATGACTCTGGTTGAGAGAGTTCTCGACATTGTATCCCAGTGCCCTGAAGTGGCCAGATATGCCCATGGCTGCCCAGCTAGTTAGGTCGGCATTAGACTAAACGCAGAGAACAGGCATATAGAGAGATCTTGGTAGAAGAAACTGTTAGAGTCTTAGTTGGATTAGATTCCCTAGAAAAGTCACCTGAACAGCAGCTCTTCCTCAGTTTCTAAATATTCCAGGATCTTTATGCTAATACTGTTTTCAGCTTCAAGTATTTTAAAGGCTGTTTGTTAAAGAAAAAGTATGCATATTCCATAGAGATACTGAAAGAAAGACAAGGACTGATACTTCATGTAGTGGAAACTATATGAAGGCAGATTATGATTATTCTATCGTGAGGGGTCAGAAGTAAGAACCACACCTTTAAAAAGTTACTTTGAACGCTGGACGCCTGGTGGCACCCTGACTTGTAAGAGGAAGGGTGGCTGCAAGGTAGAAAGAACAGTGTTTGGGCCTGTTAAGTGTGCGAAAAGATATATGATTTGTAGGATGGCTGGGACCAAGGGTGAGGAAGATAAGAAAGGGTTTGATATAAGACAGATAAGATACATTTTAAGAAATGAGAGGGAGTGTGAAGAAAAGAGAAAAATGAATAAAAACGGAATAATATTTTCCTGATTTGTAGACTTTATGTTAAAGGTGGTACCTTATGTTAATGCTGTGTCATAGTGTATTCTTGGAGTAACTGTAGACTTTCAATGCCTGAAGAAGAGTTTACACTTAATTCTGTAAGCATTGTGACCCATTAATGGTATTGAGGCAAAATAGGAGCTGGGTCATGTGTTATCATTGTAGACCAAGCATCTCTGATTTTTTTTTACAAGATACCAATTATAATAGCAACAGGAAAGATATGGTAGGCAGTATGAATTCAATAAAATAACCTCAAGACCTATGGAAAGACATTCAAGAAGACCTGTATAAATCAGAAGAGGTAGGAAATTATAAAAAATTCCATTATGCCAAATTGATCTATATATTCCACATAGTTTTGATTAGAATTTAAACGGGGCCTTTATTATTATTATTATTATTATTATTTTAGAACTTGACAAGTTGTTTCTAAAACATATATGGAACAATACTTGGCCCAGAGTAGTCAAGATACTCCTGAAGAAATACATGCAAGGGAACTTCTTTTTTTTAAATTTTTTTTCTTGATTGATTCAGGTTATTACATATGTGTCCTTATCGCCCCATTGCCTCCCCACCGCCCCCACTCTTGTCCTCAACCCCCTGTTGATGGTGTCCATTGGTTAAGCTTATATGCCTGCATACAAGTCCTTTGGTTGATCTCTCCCCATTACCCCCACCCTCCCCTACCTTCCCTCTGAGGTTTGATGGTCTGATCAATGCTTCTCTGTCTCTGAATCTGTTTTTGTTCATCAGTTTATGTTCTTCATTATATTCCATAAATGAGTGAGCTCATGTGATATTTATCTTTCTCTGACTGGCTTATTTCGCTTAGCATAATGCTCTCCAGGTCCATCCATGCTGTTACAAATGGTAAGGGTTCCTTCTTTTTTACCACAGCGTAGTATTCCATTGTGTAGATATACCACAGTTTTTTAATCCATTCATCTGCTGATGGGCACTTAGGCTGTTTCCAAATCTTAGCTATGGTAAATTGTACCGCTATGAACATAGGGATGCATATATCCTTTCTGATTGGTGTTTCTAGTTTCTTGGAATATATTCCTAGAAGTGGGATCACTGGGTCAAATGAGAGTTCCATTTTTAGTTTTTTGAGGAAACTCCATAGTGTTTCTCCACAGTGGCTGCACCAATATGCATTCCCACCAGCAGTGCACGAGGGTTCTTTTTTCTCCGCATCCTCACCAGCACTTGTCATTTGTTGATTTTTTGATGATAGCCATTCTGAGAGGTGTGACCACATTGTCGTTTTGTTCTTTCAGATACCAAGATTCACTGGAAAGGAATAATGATTGAGACTGAGGTGTAGTGTCAGCAATTGAGAAGTAGACCAGTGCAACAGAGTAGAGTCCAGAAACAGACTGACCCATGTGTGCCAATTTGAGAACAATACAGAACTGACCCTGCAGATTAGTGGAGAAAGGGTGGACTAGCAAATGGTGCTAGGAAAAGTAACCATTCATATAGAGAAAAATGAAATTGGACCTGATCTCACAGCTTTCATGAGATTCCAAATGGATTAAAGATTCAAATATGAAAGGCTATATTTAAACCTTTTAGAAGAAAATGTAGGAGAATGTTTATATGGTTTCTTAAGATGCAAAATTCCAAATCATATGAAGAGTTTGATAAATTTGACCACAGTAATATTAAGAAAATCTCATCTTCAAAAGACATTATAAAAAACTTAGAAAGAGAAGCCAAAAATTGAGAGAAGATATTTATAGCCCATATAACTAAGAGAAAAGGTTGTTATCCAGAATATACTTAAGAATTCAAATCAATCATAGAAAAGCACAACTAAATGGACATAAAGCATAAGTTGTCAGTTCACAAAAGAGGAAACTCAAAGGTTGGTGAACATAAATAAACATTCAATGTTATTAATAAAAATAAAGCGATTGGCAAAGATAGTTTCATATAATTGCCAGCATGTAGGAAAAAAGGAAAACTCATACAACAATTTTTGTTAAAACAATTTGGTGTTGTCCAGTAGTATGGAAGAAGTATAAATTCCATGGCCCAATAAGTTCACTTCTGTGTGTATGCTCTCTAGAAACACACCAGTGTGCACCAAAACATTGTTCATAATGGCTGCAGTAAAGTCAACCCTCGTCATACCTTTCAGCATAATGTTGAGCAACAACCAAAAAAGAAAAAATGATTTGCAGAATATTATGTACAGTTCATGACCATGTGTATAAAGTGAAAAAACAAGTAAAATTAATCATTATATTCTTTAGGGATATTTTTGTGGAAAAAAAACAGAGGCTACAACAAGAAATGGAGCATAGAGGGCTTCAAAAATGCTAATTTTACTTTTTAGGCTTGATAGTAGGTACATAAGCATCCTTTTTTTAAAAAAAACCTTTTTCTATGACTTCCACATATGGTCTACAAATTTTACTACATAAAATACTTTTTAAATGCTTTATTGTTGAAAGTATTTACATATGTCCCCTTTTTCCCACCAGTGACCCCTGACTATATAAAATATTTTAAAATAGAAAAATGTAACGAGCATGATTGAAAGATAAGAATGAGGAAAACCACAAAAGGTGTTTTGTTGGTTTTTTTTTGGCTTCAAATATTTAAGATTTAGTAAGAGCAACAACAAAAAAAGGCCAGCACTAAGCAGACATTTGCATCGCTGAAGTTCCTGAGGTCATTGGGCTCCTCCAAGGAATCGTTTTCTGCCGAGGCCAGAACCAGGCCCTTGTCCTTTTGCCTTTCCCTGAGCCCGTGGTGGCAGTGGTTCTTTTCAGATACCTGTGGCTATGAGGCCGGCCAGACACCTACCACTGCATCTGATTTATTTCCTGATGGAGTCATTTTTAGCATTGGAACCCAGCATTTTAAAATAAAGTTCAAGGCATGATTAAAGCCAGACTGCATTAAAGGCAAAGTCATTAAAAGGAAAGGGAGGACGCTTGCACTATAATATCAGGAGTGTCTTATACAACGAACAGCGTTAGATACAGAGCAATGAGGTGATTATTCCATGTCATCCTATTGTTTAGTTCTAAATTGGGGTGGAGGAGAATTCTGGAGTAGATCCAAACTCACTTTATTCTGAATTCAGATACAAGTTCTCAGTAAACTTGCACAATTTTCATTTTTTTTTCCAGAACAAATTATTTTCAGTAGCTCTAAATTCCAGATAAATAATTTTGGCCATGAGATATTACTGAATTGTACTAATTAATGGGTGAACACTCCCAGTAAATCACTATGGAAAATTTTAATGAACAAACCAAATGAATGAGAAATCAATATTTACTGATTGTTTTCTGGCAAACCATTAAAGCCAAATTCTGTCCTCTCACTCAAAAAACAAACCACCTGAAGTGCCTGTCAAGTTTTGTGCAAGTTTTACATCTATCTTTGTATAAGCCATAAAGACTCTTGTCTGCAACTTGCTTTAGTCACTTAAGAATATCTTGCTAACCTTTTCATTGGCAGTAAATAAAGACATTTACGGAGTGATTAATTATGTACCAGTCATTCTTCTAAGCATTTATATATCTTTTTATACCTTTAGTCCTCATAAAATGCAAGTATTATTGTGATATGTTATTATCATGCCAGTTTTGCAATTGAGGATTCTGAAGGACTGAGAGTTTAGGTCTATTACTCAATTGAGTGGCAGAGCCACTGTTCTGGGTTCTATGCAAGGAAGACTAACTCCAGGGCTACTCCCTAGGTAACTGTTTTGCACTGCCTCCATGCAATACATAAACCTGCCTCTGAATGCTGTGTGTATGAACCCAAAGCCCCATGGGCCCATCTTTTATGAATTTGCAGATAGCGTTCAAGTTTAAAAATGTCACCAAGTGTCTCATTATGCTCAGCATTTCTGTTGATAATAGCACAAGCCAGGCAGCGTGATGGTCTAAGGTCTGACTGTTTTTGAGGAGAATAATGCACATAAGAATGCGGAGCAGACCCTATTGTCATGCTGCTCCATTCCCCTACTTCCCCGCTGCCGTCTGTGTCTGATCCGTGGGCAGCATTCCATTTACGTCAAAAATAACGTCAATCTGGTGAAGAAAACAATGACTCAGAGCATTACTTTAGGAAGCAGACCTCTGTGAAATATGATATATAGCATCCTAATTTCACAGAACATTTTTCATAACAGTTGCTAAAATCATATTCAAATGCATTAAATTACTCTGGAGGATCCAATTCAAAGCGATAAGAAGACTATTCTTAAGATGCAGGTATTTTGAAGCGGAGTCCAACCCACTCAAAAATGCTCTATCATCAGCTACTTCGTATCTTTTCTGTATCTGTCTCTCTAGTGTATTGATTCACTCGAGTCCGCTCTTCTTTTGTATTTTAGTTGAATTTGAGTCTGAAAAAGGCTATTTTAAAGACTGGAGGGTCTGAAAGAAAGAATAGAGAAGAAAGGGGAAAGAAAAATAAAAATTCCCTCTAATTTTTAGGGACAACAGAGCAAGGTGCCCTGGAGAGAAGCAGCAGAAGAGGAACCCAGAGCCTTGGCTTCCTAAGAGCAATGTTATGCTATTGATTACGATCTCTATAGAGAATGAATGGCAGTGAGTGAGCATGGCCATCTGAGCCCTTACATTTAGTAGCACACAGCTTAAATCATTAAGCCAGTCAGATTTCTCCTGCCACATCACCATCCACAAAATTTTGACAGATAGTTGTTGTTGTTTTTCTTTAAGAATTTTATTTCTTGGATAAAGATAAAGCCAAATGAAATCCCTACTTTTTTTTTTCTTCTGGCACTATATACTTCTGGGAATTTGCAAAGTTAGCCCTGGACATGTATTTTTGTTTGAAACATAAAGTAAGACTAAAAAGAGGATTTGAAGAAGGCAGATTACCTGTGAAGTTTACTTTCAGACTTGAGAGAGACCTTCTCGGAGGATAAGCTTCTGAAACTGAACTCTGTGCAGTCTCTTCTACAGACTAACTGTGCATTACAGTTAGTAGAGAAGTCACTAACCTTTGAGCCTTAGTTTTCCTGAGAAAGACGGGTGGGCTAGAATCTTTTGAATTATAATATTCTGATTCTTATATGACATGCTAGAAAAGATAGCTTATAGTGGTCGGAGAGATCACTTCCAGTTCCCAGAAGCATAAGTCCTATACACATTTCCTACTATTTCTCTCATCTCCTGTAATACTCCTAAGGGGGGTGAGGGTGGTTACTTGTGATGTCTCCTGGCCAACATTCCTTCCAAGTTCTTTCTGGTATAAGAGCTGTTGAAGTGAATGTTGTCAGCTACATTCCATTTTTACAGTTTTTGTACTTTAAAACTTTTTTTTTAATCAATTGGAACATAAATGGCTGATTTGTAATCCATGAATCATTACTATAGAGTGGCCCCGAGTTCTTTGTTTTCAGACACTCAAAAATTGTTTATTGGGTACCATGCTTTTGGCCACTTGGATCATGCATTTAAGGCAGTGCTTTTCAGATTCCAGCTGACTTCATCTTTAAAAGCTGTAGTTCCATGTGTGACCTCCAATGGGTTGAACCAAGTCAGTGCTAGCTGATACTAAAGCAGATGTACCAGATTGCCATTTGGCGATTGACTGACACCAGGACCTGGCAAATTACTGAATAGTAATGGAGTCAGAAGTCCCAGAATAAATTATCTATAGTCTAAACCAGTGGTTCTCAACCTTCTGGCCCTTTAAATACAGTTCCTCATGTTGTGACCCAACCATAAAATTATTTTCGTTGCTACTTCATAACTGTAATGTTGCTACTGTTATGAATCGTCATGTAAATATCTGATATGCAGGATGGTCTTAGGCGACCCCTGTAAAAGGGTCGTTTGACCACCAAAGGGATCGCGACCCACAGGTTGAGAACCACTGGTCTAAACCCTGCTAATAAGTAGTTCTGTTTCCTCACTCTATTGTTCAGTACCTAGTTGGTACTGATGGAGTTGAGTGCTATGCTGGGTCCACTGGGGCCAGGATTCTATTGCAAGAGGAGCCATATTTACAAAAGTAGAATGACCTTCCTCCTTAGGTTTTTTTGTCACCAAGTAGCCAAAGCTGTTACTAAACCAACCAAATCAGAAATCATCTGAGAAATCATTTTTCCTACAGTTTTCAATGTCTTCCCTTTTTAATGCTCTCTTAACACCTATGTGAAAGGTTAATGGTAATGTTTTTTACATAGCCTGTTGGAGAAGTTAATTTCCCAGAAGTGAATTTCCAGTCACAACAAATGTGATTTTACAATGGAAAATACTAGACTCTAATGCCATTAAAATCTTATTCTGTATCTTGTTCAACACTAACTAAATTGGAGAGTAGTAGCCTGGGAGTCCAAACGCTAGAATGGTCGTGGCAGCTCGTCAGCTAGCTATGTAGATGACCGCAAGTTACTCAAGTTCTCTGAGCTCAGGGGAGGGAAAACAAAGCAGCCAAGTATGTCTCTTGGAGCTGTTGTGAGGACACATGAGATGGTGTATGTGATAGGACTTCGTGTCAAAGAACATAAAATCCAAATATGAATCAGATAAGCATGTATGACAGTATATCTGGTTATATTATTGCTTTCATCTATTCGGTGTTTCCACGTTTTATATGTAAACAAGAGCTTGTAAGGTTGATTCTCCCCCAGTTATAAAAATTGATGAATTCTTAATGGGCAGCTGCAAGTTTAGATTTTATTGGAAGGAGGAAATGAAAGTAATAAAGGAGATTTCTTTCCTCCATTGACAAGTAAAAACATAAAGAGACGACTAATTATAAAATATTTAGCTGTCCTTTATATAGAACTGAATGGTCTGACTTTTCTGTATATTCACTTTTCTTTCAAATATGGGAAATGAAAAGTCAGAATCTTCTTTAAATATTGTCATTCAATAGATGTATCTCCTAGGGAAAAATATGTTAAAATCATATGCCAGTTGCTAACTTCCATACATAAGAGAGGTACAACCTGAGGTGCTTACTTGTTTTGGTTTTGTAAAATAATATATTCAGAGTACACCTTTATCTTTATTGTGATAAGGAATTTCCTGGGGTACTGCTACTGTAAGAAATTGTTTTATTCTATTAATATCAGTACTTACTTTTTTGCGACTCCATTATTTGCTTTATTTTAATAATTTAAACCCAGAAGTACTTAATTATTAATTTCTTGAACAGCATGATTTCATTTAATGACTGCCACTCTGAAAAGGTAAAAGGAAAAAGATAAAAGCCTAAGTAAATTTTGCTAAAGAAAATTTACACCGATGCTCATCTTTTATTACCTGTACTTGACGTGACACCTGACCTGCTTAGGTTTTTGTCCTTAGTTTCTAAGATCTCCCAACTTTCATAGACCTTCCCTCTTATATATTGTTCATCAAACACTCCAGCATGCAGACACATAAATAAGTAAATGCAAATCAGTGCTTCTTATAATTATGTTTTAGGAAGGTTTTATGCTTTTTGGATGTTAGATTTTTGTTGTTGCCTTGGTCACCTTTAGTGTTGGTTTTTCTCCCTAAGTCTTTGTACACTTCTCCTAGATCTCCCTTTTTTTAAATATATATTTTTTGTTACCTGTGGGATATTATACAGGCCATCATGGTTTCCTGCCTGGTGTTACTGATAACCGTAAGATTTTGTTATCAGTGTCTGTGGTCTCTTTATCAATCCTCTCCAAAAGTTTCTCTCCCTGATTATTTTGCAATGGTCTTTTCTTAGACTTGAATGAAGCAGTCCCAGAGACAGAGCGCCTGGATTCGAAAGCCCTGAAAACCCGAGCCCAGCTGTCCGTGAAGAACCGACGCCAGAGGCCCTCTAGGACAAGGCTTTATGATAGTGTCAGTTCAACAGACGGGGAGGACAGCCTAGAGCGAAAGGTGAGCGCCCTTGACCGTTTCCTGATTACAGTGTTGGGCTCTATCCTTGTTCCTACAGTTTATTGATTTTTCTTCAACCAGATTCTATGGCCTCATTTGAAATAGCTGGAATAGTTCACTTTTTTTTGGTCTCCAAAATCCTTATTCAACTCAATACATTGTTGTAATTCAAATTCTTTCTATACTCATTCAGTAAACTAACCAAGAGTATTATCCACATTGTCATATTTCATGATGGTGTTTTTGATATTCAGCAGTTGGTTCTACCTAGTAGGAAATAATGAATGTACAAATAATTGTTCCTATATGTCTTAGGTGTCTGTGTTAGTTACAATGGTAATATGGTGAGTCTTTGTAAACTATGGAGTCTCATTTGTAAACCAACAAACAAAATTGGTTTTCATGGGGATTCACTAATAATAAGGTCGATCTGATTTCAAAGTAAGTATTACATGGAACCGAAGCTCAGTGGCATAACCTCCTTTATAATCTCTTATATCGACAGCCTTCAAACAGTTTCTGTAACCACATGCATATTACCAAATCACTTCTGCCCAAGGGTTTGCGAACTTCTTCTCCAGAATCAGATTCTGGTGCTCCATCCCTCACTTCCGAGGCTGTCAGTGTGCCCTTCTCCAAGTCTGACCAGATAACTGAATCTCAAGGACCCCTGCACCCAGAAAGGGAGCCTTCCTCCTGTACTTGGGGAGACTCTTCACTCTCCTCTCCTTCAAAATCTGATCACGATATGGAAGACTCTCCTTGCCATCATCAAACCACCACCAGGAAAATAGCACAAGAAAAAGGTACTGTCAATTTTTTTTATTTCATTTTGTCTAATTAACACCTTGATTTCTGTAATATAAAAATAACTTTTTTTCTCATAAATCTAAGTTCTTTGTCTTCTCACAGCTAATAATTAATATTGCTTTTTTATGTTATGGAATAAGAGAACATTCCTCTTCCATTTATTTATGTTTATCTTTTTCTAACTAGTTAGTATTTTTATTTCTTTAGTTCTCCACAAGTTTACTAATGAAGGATGTTATTCAGGAGGCCTTCTAGAGATTTTGTGGAATAGCAGCCGAGTTTCAATAAACACTAACATAGTCATATAGAAAAAAATATATATGTATGTATGTGTGTGTGTATATATATATATATATATATATATAAAGGTAAAAGTGATAGAACCTATTAGTTTGGTTTTTATTCAGAAGAAATTTTCACAATAATGATTTATATTGCAAATGTGGTAGAAAGCTCTGATAAAGGTAATGCAGGGATATTAGTGAATTAATTTTTATAAGAGGCTTCTAGAATTAACACCAGAATTTCAAAGTAGTGTCAGTACACTTTTATCTTTTTAATAGAATGTTTTAATTTATAGAAGTAACTAATTCTTGTGTAAACAAGTTAAATGATGCATAGGTTAAAAAAAAAAAAAAAAAAAAAGAATAGATTCATGCTCTTCCTACCACATCTGACATGTTCCTTTGAAGTAACCAAGTATATTGGGTTATATAGTAACCCTTGAATGATGTGAGACTAGGAGTGCTGACCCTCACACAGTTGAAAATCCACATATAACTTTTGACTTCTCAAAAACTTAACTACATTTGTCCCTTGCTATCCATGAAGATTGGTTCCAGGATTCCCCACAGAACCTCTAAGTTGTGAATGCTCAAATCTCATATAAAATGGTATAGAATAAGGCATACAGTTGGCCTTCCATATCCATAGATTCCCAACTGCAGATCAAAAATACTGTTTTTAATCCATGGTTGGTTGAATCCACGGATGCAAAACCTGAAGATACAGAGGGCTGACTGTATATTTGTTGAAAAAATCTGTGTATGGGAGGACCCATGCAGTTCAAACCCATGTTGTTCAAGAGTCAACTGTATTACCTTTCACATCTGAAAAAAAATGATATAAAATAAATATGTAAAAATCAACACCTTGATAAGTATAAGGGTGAAGTGTCTGCAGTTTACTTTGAAATGCAATTAAAAATTAATGGATTAAAAGATGAATGGATTAATAGATGATTAGAGGGGTGGTTATAGGATAAGGAAAATGTAGCAAAATGAAAGTTATAGAAACTAGGGGGTGGATATATGTTTGTTCACTATAAAATTCTTTTGTCATTTAAAAAATTGAATAGCAAAAAAGAAATCTCATTTCTCTCCATACTTATCTGGAGATTCAGTACAACAGACATTTTGTAGAACTTGACAGGCTGATTCTAAATTTATAGAAAGAAAAAGAGGCCAAAAGTACCTGAAACTCTTGAAGAAGACTGAAGTGGAAGGCCTTGCTTACCTGATACCTGGAATTATTTAATTCTGCATTTTGTTTATATGGAGGTATCTAAATAAACAAACAAAATAAAGAGCTTAGAAGCAGGTTTCATATACACATACATTTTATGACAGTTGCATGTGTAGATGGGTAGAGAAAGAATCGTTTTTAATAAATTGTTCTTGGAAATTTGGTTATCCATATTTTTAAAAATTATAATATCCATATACCATGTAGAAGTTTCATTCAAGGATGATTCAATACTTAACTAGATAATGCAAAACTATAAAACTTTAAAAAGTATATAGGAGAACATTTTGTGACTTCAGGATAGGGAAGGTTTTCTTAAACAAGATGTAAAAAGCATACATCATAAGGAAAAGATGGGTAAAGTAAAACGAGAAAGTCCTATTCCTCAAAAGACACAATAAAGAATCCCTAAAACTTGAGAGAAGATATTTACTCCCCATGTAATTTACAAAGGATTAGTGTCCAGATTGTGTAAATAACTCCTATAAAGCCCTAAAAAAAAAAAAAAGACAAATAATCCAGGAGGAAAATGTATAACGTCCTGAACAGGCACTTCATAGAAAATGAAAATCAAATGCCCATAATATTTATAAAAAGCTGTTCAACCCCATTAGTAATCAGAAAAGTATGAAATACACCAAATGAGATACTATTTTATACCTACCAGATTGCCAAAAATATTCTAATCTGATATTACCAGATGCTGGTGAATATGTGAGACAACCATAAATCAGATATTTGCTGGTGGAAGTGTAAATTGGTACAAGCTCTTTAGAAACCATTTGGCATTACCTAGTAAATTTGAAAATGTGCCTACCCAGCAAATCTTTACCTATTTATATATCCAAAAGAAATCCTGCACTTGTCTGCTAAGAATCATGAACAGGAATATCCATAGCAGTCGTTATGTAATAGTAAAACCTGAGAACAACCAAAAACTGGTAATCACTAGAATAATCACCAGTAAAAAAAAGATAAATGAGTTGTAGTATATCCCTATAATGAACTGTGCAGGAGGGAAAATGAACAAATCACACTGAAACATTACAACAGGGTGAATCTCTAGAAAAAGACATTGAAAAGCAAGTTACAAGTAAATACAGACTAATATATGTGATTCTTGATATAGAGTTAAACAAAACTAGCAGATTACTTAGAGATACAAACACAATATTGAAGTTATGAATGGGTATGACAAAGCTAGTTACATGGGGAGAATGTCAGGGAGTAGAAATAAGGAAGTACATACAGGACTTCATATGTATAAACTGCAGTGGAAGTGGGATGACAAATGAAATGGAGGTTTGTTTTATTGTTTTTTCTTTAAACTCTGCAACTATCATATAAATAGTCTTGATTTCAGTAGATAAAAAACATAAAAAGGACCATATATACAAAGTTAATCAATAGACTTTAATATACAAATAGCTTCAAGTAATTTTTCTTAAAGCCAAAAATATGCTAAGGAAATAAACTGTCCGTTCATTGAAGAGAAAATCTGCATTATGTATAAAATGTAAAAAGATGATGGAGAAATTGTCATTTAAATTAGATACCATCAAATTGCCAAAACCTTTCAAGAGTCCCACCAACCAGTGCCAGCAGTGATATGAGACACACTCCTATATTGCAGTTATGATTGCAAATCACTGCATTTTTAAAAAGTCCTTACTCATTTATCTGTACCAGATCCAAAATTTAATCTTTCTACAATTTGTGGTGAACATAGAAATACAGTTGATTGTGGGAGCTCACTCTGTTTTGTAACTGTTGGTAAGCATCATAGCTTTACTTCTGATATTTCTCCTGGTTTCCCTTCCTGAGCTTAGCAGTTGCTGGAATTATCTTCCATAGACTGGTCCTAAGCTCAGCTCTTCTAGAAGTTTTGAGATAAAAATTAAATACTTAGGGAGGGCAAAATGCTAGTGGAAGCGAAATAAAATATGTCCAGCCCACTAATTCATCAAAAGTGGTTGTCAGGTTGTTGAAGGACTTGCAGTGTAATTTGGCCTGCTTCCACAAGGATGAAAACCTTCAAAAACTCTCATCAAGTCAGTGTTTTGAGAGCCAAGACTCTAGTCCTTAGTGTTCTAAGTCTGGAAACTCAATAATGCACCGAGATTTAATCAAGTTCAGAGGGACTGATTCATACTGTTCAACTTAGAAAGAACCAGAATACTAATTGTTTTATTTACTTTGGGAGGTGCAACTGATATAATAACCCACATCATTCATGTGTTTTGTACTCTCCTGGTTGTTAGATTCATAAATCAGAATGAGCAAAATATTAAAGTTACCTGGACGTGTGTACAGAATATTCTCATTAGACTGGCTGACTGATGAATGCTCGTTTCACTGCAACATCGCCAATCCTATAGCTCTTTCATGTCCCTCAGGGACTCTCCCTACCTAGTTCCCAAGATGGACCTCAGTATCATTAAAACATTAGGGAAATTCCGTGCTTCCAATTTTGTGACATTTCAAGCTCCAATACAATATAGATTCACAGAGTAGGATCTAGCTTTGTTGTTCTCAAAACCCAGTTTGGAGAATAGCACTGTGTAAAATCCTGGAGTTCCTTGCTCTATGAGACTAATTCACTATGCAGACCTAGGCAGCACAGAGGTGAAATATGGTTAACTTGATTTCCCTCTGTGTGTTTATATACGTGGTTCTTACAAGTCATTGGCTCATCACTAAATGAACTAGAATGAGGTTTAGCAGTACTCACAAGTACAAACTAGACTTCACGTTTACATTCTTACCTACCATTCTAGGAAATTTCTAGTTCTTCTTCAGAGCCCAGCTTAAATCTCACCTCCTTTCATGGCTCCCTTTCCATTCCCAGACGGAGGGAATTATTCTCTCCTCTATGATCCCATAGAAATTTTCAGTTACTTCTGCTTCTATCCCTTTGTGTATGATACGTGATCTAGTTGTCAAGTATGAGACAAAGTTTTCTCATTCATCATGTTCGTCTTTGTATTCTTAGTCCCCCAAAAAAGTAAGGCATATAATTGATGCATACTAAGTGTCTTGGATGAATTAAGTATGTCTCTGCAGAAAACCAATGCAGGTTTTCTAGAACAGAGGTCATCACACCAAATCCGGCCTCCACCTGCCCTTATAAAGTCTTCTGGGTGCCACACTCAGTTTGGTGCTCTCTGCTTTCATGCACAAGAGCAGAGCTGAGTAGTTGTCACAAAGAGCCCACAAACCTAAATTTTTTTTTGCAGAGAAAGCTTGCTGACCCCTGGTCTAGACATGTATTACCTTCCACTGAACATTGTCAGATAAACTCTGAAAGTGTCTTAGTCATTGTTTACCCTTTATCTAGATTTTTAAAACAGTAATATACCACTGCTTTTGGTCTGTCAGTTTACTATAAAGTTAGTGATTAAGTTATAGCTATATTGGATTGCTATCCTGAGGATAACTCACTGGTGTGATTGAACACCTAATTGAAGTGAAGGATTTCTAACTCAAGTTAATACTGCATTCACAAGTCATCATTTTGTTGTCATATTTGTGGGATCTTAGGGGAAACTAAGATTAAAAAAGCCCCATTGTAATTGGCTAAATGGTAAACGTTTAACCCCATTTGAGTGAAAATTAGAGAAGGTAAAAGACTATTTCTAGAGATTTATAAAACAAGTTATATGATAATAGGAGGCATGAATATATTGTCCTCATGCCTATTCTTTGACTAACCTAAAACTGAACTGCTGGTCTCTAGACTTATATAGCAATGGACCTTTATTCAGACAAGGTTAAGTAGAGTAAATTAAACACTTTCAGTTTTCTACTGGTGATATCTAGAGATTACTCTTCTAATTTTACATGTAACTATTAGCACATTGCCTGACACAGGACATGCCTTCAGAAATATTTGTTGAATTAATGTCCTGGCAAGTAGATCAATTTTCAGGATTCATTTACTATTAATATATTGCATTAGGCCTTTTTATATAATTGCTCAGAAGAGGGCAAGATTATATCCAGCTGAGGTTGGCAAATAGGATGTTAAAAAAAAATAGAGTAACCACTGAAAAAGCAGAAAAGGTAGGTAAGGAAGGCAGGTCAAGCAGGGAGAGATGGCATTGCCAGAGACAGGCACAAGTAAGCTGAATTTAAAGGAATGGGGCTGCCCCAGGCTGCCTGAAGCAGTTTGTTTATGTGTGTTAAGAGTGGTTGCACATATAATTGCACAGTAGGTTGAGTCTACAATTGTAGAATTTAAACACCTTAGGTACCTTGCCTTACTGGGAAACCATAAGTTGTTTGAGCAGAGGAATAAGAATGAAAATACACTAGGTATGGGAAAGATGAGTTAGGAGAGACTCTGAGGGGATCTCCTCTAAGGAGGAGCAGTGAAGATGCAAGAACCTTTGACACAGATGTTGACTAGATAAAGGGCAGTGTTCTCAACCTTCCTAATGCTGCAGCCCTTTAATACAGTTCCTCATTTTGTGGTGACCCTCAGCCATAGAATTATTTTCGTTGCTACTTCATAACTAATTTTGCTACTGTTATGAATCGTAATGTAAGTATCTGATGTGCAGTATGTATTTTCATTGTTACAAATTGAACATAATTAAAGCATAGTGATTAATCACAAAAACAATATGTAATCATATATGTGTTTTCCGATGGTCTTAGGCGACCCCTGTGAAAGGGTCGTTTGACCCCCAAAGGGGTCGCGACCCACAGGTTGAGAACCGCTAATATAGGGGGAAGGAAGTGAGGAGGTCAAAACTGATCATAGGTTTCTAGCCTCAGAAAATATGATCTTGTCTTTAATAGAAAATAGGAAATCAGAAATATTATGGGGGAAAGATGATCAACTCATTTTATAATAGAGGAGGTTGTACACTCAGGAGAGGAGCCAGGCTTTGGAGGTAATCAAGAGGCTTTTGCCCTGAGATGGAGGAGAATGAAGTCCATAAAAGCCTTAGTATTTAGCTGTCAGGAGTTCTTTCAGTGCCTTTGGAAATGAGGACCAGGTCAGCAGACTTCTAATTGCTCATGAAGGTAGTACTGGAGAGATTTCAAAAAGCCTAATAGAATTTTACATAAAGCTACATAAACAAACAAAAAATGTCCCATTTCTATTTTTCCCCTGAAATCTAATGATCCAATGTTGGTTTTTATGTAGACTAGAAGTTCTGATGTCCATTAAAAGGTACTTGATTGATTTAAAATGGGAAAGTGCATTGTTACTTAATCTTGCCTCTTCAGTTTTTTGAAGGCATTCACATAAGTGTTCCTTGGAACACACTTTGGCAAATGTGTGAGATAATGATGTGAGGTTGCCTAGCAGCAGGCTCTGTGATGGGTACAATCAGGCTTTTAGTCCCAAGAGGTCCAATAACTGCAACTCTAATAGGTCACAGAGTGCATCCAAGTACATTGTCTCATCTGGTCCTCTCACCATCTCAGCTACCTCTAATTCAGAAAATAATAGGCAGTCTCCTTTTTAACTTTGCACAGTCCTAGCCATTAAGAGTTACTTTAAGATTGACCTGGAAGGATCCAACACTTTCTTTTCTCTGGCTTCTCTTAAGAGAATTGAAATCCTGCTTTTTTTTTTTTTTTTTTTTTTTTTTAATGTCCATTAGCAAAATCACCTCAGAAGGTATCGGTACCATGTCCATGGATTTTCTTTATGTGTCTGTGTCACATTTGTGGCTGATTAATTCAGTTACCTAAAGAGTAACAATGTAAATACTCATAATATTTTAGATTAGAAGTGGGTTTGGATGTGGATATATTTCTGACTCTTGTATTTTATTATGTACATTTCAAGGAATTAATTGTAATCTGAGTGTCACTAACTAAGAATATGGAAAGCTCATTGAGAAGAACCCTTAGAGTGTTTGTTAATATCCTGTGCTTCTTTAGAGCTTTGAACATAGACTCCTAAATGAGAACTGTGTGTTTTGTAAGGATGCATGTTAAGAAATTTCTCCTGAAATAAACAAAATAAACCTGCATGGTTAATTGAACACTTTCTTAGGAGGACAGGACTATTCTCTCTGCACTCCATGCCAGGAAGTTGCTGGAAATTATTTAATTTTAAAGAGATAGAGATAGACCGCAATAATTAGGGAGGAGTAGTTTCACACTCTAATATGCATCAATATTAAAACACCCTTTGCTAATCATCTCAGATAACTGGATATGCTGAAAGATAATACCAAACAGCATCCTTTGCTAAATGGTTCCAGGTAGAGCCTTAGGAGTTTTCCACCTTGTCCAAAGTGGAATAAGTTGCACCAGTAGAATCTAACTCCATTCGCAGAGTCTCTCCACTGATTGGTTTTTGGCATTATTTCGAGGGTGCCCATCCCCAGCAGCTGCTACCATTCGGAGTGCCAGCTTAACTCAAGGGCAAAGATCATTCAGCTCCAGACACTGAGGAGCATTTGGCATCTTCGCCATCACAGGAGGCCAACCAAGTTATGCTCCAACCCAACTTCAAAGAGAGACCTTTCAAAGATATCAGTGTCCTAGAGCTGAGTCCCTGCTCAAGAAAGCCTTCCCCATGTTCTGCCTTCCTCTGTCCCAGGACTGGCCACAGGCCATTAGGCCGGAAGGGAAGGCTCTGCCCATCACTTCCTCCCTAAATCTCTCTGACTCTCAGGGGTGGCTTTCTGTGCTGACCTGAGAGATAAGAGGGCTGGAACAAAAGGAAAGTTATGTTGGTCCCTGCTGTTAATGTAAAAGGTGACTTGATAGTGCTGATTCATCCTTATTTTATTCATTTCAATATTTTTGAAGCTAAAGCTCTTTGTGATGAGTATCGGGCCTTGATCTATCAGGACATCTTCTGCTTTACTGAATGTTCCTCAGCGTAGCTAGGTTTCTTATATCTTTTTTAAAAAGGCATCCATTATTTTCTTTTATAGTTAGAAATTGAGTCAGATCTCTTAAAGAGATGCACTTACTTTTGACTCATAGCTTTAAAAATAATAATAACTAGTCTTTCTTTACATATGTATATATTCTAGATGGTGCCAAAGGTCCCAAATCACTAAGGGCATCCAGTTCGTTGGTGGTACAAGGAGGGAAAATTAAGCGGAAGTTTGTGGATCTGGGGTAAGCACTTCATGATGTGAAAGGCAAGCCCTGTGTAAAAGAAGGATTAAAGGAGAACATGTCAGCTTTCCCTTTCTGAATGTGTCTGCCTTTATAGGGCACCGTTGCGAAGGAACTCCAACAAGGGAAAGAAATGGAAAGAAAAAGAAAAAGAAGCCAATAGGTTTTCTCCAAGTAGCAGGTATGGGTGAGTGATTGAGGACACAGATTCATCTTTATAACTAAACTCCCTGGCCCCCTTCCCTTGTTCACCAAAATCAGTTGTCAGTGTCTTCAATATACCTATAGTGAGATGAAAGAAAAATTTCACAATTTATATGTCTTACTCCAATTAAAGCCTACACTGGGCCCTGGGAGAGCCATTGCCTTAATTGCAGAATTTTGATCTCATGAACAGTTTCACCAAATATTTATCTAAGCACAGAATAATGATGCCTATGTGATATTAAGTACCTATTGGCTTTCAAGACTGTTCAATCCCCAAGCATGTAAGAATGATGGCCGTCTCCTGCTGGACTCAGCTATTCGTTGGTAGCCCCTGTCAACTATGCGTACTGCTCCATAAAGACTTTCCTTTAGAGAAGTGGGCTTTATGCAGCATGTTTTCAAGTTTTCTTCTGAGATAACTTCATTTAAACTCCGCTTTGTAGAGAGAGATAGTAAAGCATAGAGCTCTGAAGTTTGACTGCCTGGGTTTGAATCAGAGCTCTCACCTTTTAAATCTTGGACAAGTTATTTAGCCTATGTGTCTCCATTTTCCCATGTGTGAATGGGGGTAATAACAGTATCTACCTTATAACATTAGTGTAAGGGTTAATAATTTATTCATCTGTATAAATTCCAGATGAAAACATTTAAAATGCTATCTGGCACATAGAAGGTATTTTAAAAATAATAATAAAGATAACAATTTGCTGCTATTATTATTGTTTGCAAGTTACAGAGAAGGTTTACATTTATCATTTGGTCCTTACAATAGATCTGGAGGGCTGATAATAACACCATACTTTACTGATGAAGGCTTCACCTCTATATAATTGAATTGATTACCCCAGGACTATGCAAAAGGCCAGTGATGACGAACCTATGACACGCGTGTCAGAGGTGACACACGAACTCAATTTTTTTGGTTGATTTTTCTTTGTTAAATGGCATTTAAATATATAAAATAAATATCAAAAATATAAATATTTGTTTTACTATGGTTTCAAATATCAAAAAATCTCTATATGCGACATGGCACCAGAGTTAAGTTAGGGTTTTTCAAAATGCTGACACGCCGAGCTCAAAAGGTTCGCCATCACTGCAATAGGCAATTGATGTCAATTAGCTGGGGCTTGTGTCTCCTGTCTAGATGTCTTTCCAATACTTCCTGTCATCTTCAAGTACTTACTCATCTAATGGTTGGTTTTTTAAAAATCGCAGTTTATATTCAATATTATTTTATATTAGTTTCAGGTATTACAGCATAGTGGTTAGACAATCAGATACTTTCAAAGTGGTTCCCTCGCTGGCACCATACTTAGTTATTACAATATTGACTATGTTCCCTAAGCTGTGCGTTCACCCCCATGGCTATTCTGTAACTACCAATTTGTACTTCTCAATCCCTTCACCTTTTTCACCTGTCCCCACAAGTCTGACACCTGTCATTCTGTTCTGTGTCTATGAGTCTGTTTCTATTGTGTTTGTTCTTTTATTGTGCTTCTTAGATTCCACATATAAGTGAAATCATATCGTATTTGTCTTTCTCTGACTGACTTATATTTCCTTATGAAATTTGGGAATCATCTCAAAAGCATAGAGTAAGAAAGATACAGGCAAAATGCTAAGAATAAAGCACAATAAAATCATTTGGGGACCACTTACCCATTTCATAGGTTGTTATCTGCTGTTTCCTTGTTTTCTTTTTCTTTTTACTGGTATACCATGTGGTGAGAAGTTGTACCTTCTTCCTGAGATTACAGAAGAATTGGGAGGGGATGACAAGAGAGAGTGCCAAATTAATTATTTTTGTTAGTTGGTTTTCCTTTATGCTGTAAAATGGAGAAAGGGTAGAAAGTTTTGTGTGTATTGAGGACAGCAATCTCAATTAAAATAAGACCATAATGCAACTCAAAAGAGATTTAACTGTGTGATTTTGGAGTGAGAAATATAAAAGTCTACTTTGTGCCTTAAAGTTAAGAATAGAAAACTATCAAATATGCTTAGAGGAAATAAAAGAAATAAGTAATGAAACTGTTTAAGAGAGAGAAGCCCAGATACAGAATGGGAGAGAAGCTCAGACACCTCTGAGTTTCTCCCTTTCTTCTCTGGGCCTCTGAGGCAGTCACTCCCTCTCACTTTTGAGGCTAAAAGGGGCAGAACCACAGGCATTCAGCAAGCATTCAAAGGTTCTACTGAATGTGAAGGCAGTAGCCAGAGTATTACCACTTTGTATAAATTCCAGATGAAAAGCAAGCACATCTGGATTCTGCTGGTGAGTGCTCACCTTACTCTAGGGCAGGCAAAACCTTGGGTGGCTGATGGCAGATTGTCATGTGCACACTGCCTCATCAGCTTTTGAACCAGCCAGACTTCCCCCTTGGCTTCCTGGCCAGCTCTACAACTTTAAAACACTAGCTCTGGTGGCTCTGCTTTAGTCACAGGTGGTTCTACGTGTACCAACGCTATAGAATAGCTTTAAATTAGGATCATCATTTTTAAATTATTTGTAATTATAGTAGAATTCTGACAACTGAAAGGAATTCATGTAATGGAAATGGTAGAATAGGGAAGGAGAGAGACCTTTTCTATTTCAAAAAGGTAATTTTTTGAGCTATCACAGTAATTTGGTTAACACTAATCAAATCCAGTGACAGCCTTTGTTCTTCTATGTAGATTGATAATGGGTCCAGAACCTTACAAAACATACTCCAGAAAGGACAATTACTGCCAGGTGGGAGTTTAGTGCAGCTGAGCTAGGCTGGCTTCCTGGGTCCCTGGAGGTAGGTGGGTGATGAGGACCATTAGCCACAAGATCGCACAGCAGCTGCAGGGAACTGGGAATAAATGCATCACCCCAGTGAGGCTTTCTCAGAAAGAGCAGTCTAACGCATGGATTGAGTTTGTAATCTTATCTCCCGGGTGTTTCTTCCAGTTCTCATAAGGTCATTCTGAGGCCATTAGACATTATCTGAGTTATAATCTGAGGCTATTAGACATTAAAAAGTTAAGATACTTGCTAAAACCAATTTGGTCTTGGTTTTAGTTTTTTCCTTCCCTGAGAGTAAAAAATTCACTTTATTGTATTTCCTGTGGAGACTTAATGATTCAAACACATGGCCCACATGAAACAAATAGATGAGGTTAAAATAATCCTATATAATAAAAGGCTAACATGTAAACTGACCGGTCACTATGACATGCACTAACCACCAGGGGGCAGACGCTCAATGCAGGAGCTGCCCCCTGGTGGTCAGTGCACTCCCACAGGGGGAACACAGCTGGTGAGTGCAGTGGCAGTGGCGAGAGCCTCTCCCGCCTCCACGGCAGCACTAATGATGTCCAACTGCCGGCTTAGGCCTGCTCCCTGCGGGCCTAAGCTGTCAGTCGGACACCCCCCAAGGGCTCCCAGACTGTGAGAGGGCACAGGCCAGGCTAAGGGACACCCCCCTGAGTGCACAAATTTCATGCATCGTGCCTCTAGTAGTAAATAAACAGACAAACCCTACAAAGAAATATGGTTTGGTTTTATCCTTTTCAAATATGTGCTCAATGAACATTCTGATTTAAAAACAGGTAACATAGCAGAGAAAAAAGCAGGAAACATTTAATTGTCAGAGCTTCCTCTTACCCTAAAGCAGCAGTTGCCAACCTTTGGAGCTGGTGGGAGAACCTCTAAATTTAGTCCCTGAATGGAAAGCCCTGTGAGAAGATCTGTGTATCTCAGGACTAGGTTAGAGAGCGGCACTTGGGAAAATGACAGGGAAGGGAGAGGGCACTTCTCTGGGGAAGTGAGTCTTCATTTACCTGAAGTGTGAACAATGGAAAAAAACACACCACTGAGTATTCAAATATTCACCCGAGTATTCATCCTGACTCTGCCATAGGTAAGTCTCTGAATTCCTTGGACCTTGGTTTCCTACAAAAAATAAGTGAGGTGGACTAGAAGAACCTGATCCCCAACCACCCATCCATCTCCATCTGCATTACCCAGTATGGTAGCCTCTGGTCAGATGTGGCCATTGAGCACTTGAAATGTGGCTAGTCTATATTGAAATGTGTTATCAGAGAAAATGCATGCTAGATTTCAAAGACTTAGTATAAGAAAAAAGAATGTTAAATATCTTCTTAAAAATTGTATACTAAGTAGATGTTGAAATAATACTTTGAATATTTTGGGTTAAATAACATTATAAAATAATTTTATCTTAAAAAATTTTTTTCATGTGGGTGCTAGAGAAAAATTCTTTAATCCTCATCCAAGGCTATGTTTTTATTGATTTTTTTTTTTTTTTTTTAGAGAGAGAAAGGAAGAGAGAGGGGGGGGGGGAAGGAAGAGGGAGAGAGAGAGAAGCATGGTTCAGTTGCCTCCCATAAGAACCCTGGCCAGGGATTGTACCTACAACCTAGGTATGTGCCCTGATTTACCTTGTATTCAAAGTTAAAACCAACCCCCCAAAATCACCAGGGAGTGTTTACCTTAGCAATTTATTTTTGGGGTTCCTAGCCCCAGGATAATCTGTTTCCAAGATGTATATAAATGAGTTAATTGTTCTATGGAGGTGTAAACTATAAACCATTTAAATGCCAGGAAACTTACTTCCCCACCTCATCGCCCACCCCCAAATGACATTTTAGCATTCCAGTTCCTAACAATAAAATAATCAGAAATATAGCTATGATTTGATTCAGTGACAGTGAGCCATTAGTGTACAAGCTGTGAAGGAAGTACAGAGCACATACCTAGAAATTCTTTTCAGATCCATTAAGAATTCATATCCATTGATCTTGATTTTTCATGGGGATTATGAAGGATGAATATAGAGTTAGTATTTAGCCCATAACCTGCCCTGAGGGTAAAAAATGTTAAGAAAGAAAAGAGGAAGGAAAGGAAAGGAGGGAAGGAAGAATTTTATCTTATTCGTAATACATTTCTCCACCAAGTGAAACAGGCTGTAAGAGTGATCAATAATAGAATAACTGTTACCAAAACTCCTGTGCTCCTTTTGTAGACTCAATAGTTCAATTTATCCGGAAGGAAATTGGCATTTATTTTAGAAAGCATGTCTGGAAAGCTGATAGGTCTATGAGTTTAAAGGAGTGGAGAGTTTACTTTTTTAAATGAACATTCCCTACTCAAGATCCCAAGCAAATGGAAGCATGCCTGTCCAGCTCTTTGTGGATACTGGCAAACACACAGAGGTTACATCAGTGTATGGAGGGAGTTTTAGAATCGAGGATACACAGATAAACGAGGGGGGCAGGATACAGCCTCAGCGGGGCACAGCCAGACCTCCTGGAGAATTGGAAAATATTCTTCAGAATACCTCAGAACCGGTGGTTTACAGCTGTGAGGACGTAGCCATCTCCTTAGAAGTGGGCTTGCGTTCTTTCTGTGTGACTTTTCCTCTTGCCTTCCATTATCTTCATTGTCTAAGAAAGCCTCTGGATATCACCAAGGCTGAGCTTCCCTCGCCTCCTTCATCACACCCCCACTGTGGCCTCCAGGCCTGCCTTCAGCGCTGGATGTCCACGTGCACCTGGAATTATCAGTCTTGGATATTTTCCTGGCAGCGAGAATTTTATGGCAGTGTTTAGATGTGGTCTTCAGATTTTGTTTGAAATGTTGCCTGGCCAGGGTTTGAACTACCAAAAGTCCTTTCCAAATAAGTCATTAGAATGACAAAAATTAGGTACCAATAATCTTATTTCTTGCAAAAAAAAAAAAAAAAGTGGTAGTGGTTGTTCTAAAAGGGTTGTTACAAAGGCAGTCCACTTGGGAATAGGAAGATAGTTTAGCTGTCATTGATAATGGCCTATTTATAACTTAAAACAGTATCCATGTATCAAAGCACTACAATGCTTTATTTAAATTGTGGATGGAACACCTAAAGAATTTCCCACGTCACTTTGATTGATTCAGAAATTTATAACCAAAGGAGAAAAATAAATCATCAGGTCCAGTTTATTTCAGATATGCCTACTTATAAGAGTGTGAGGCTACTGAGAAAATATTTTTATTTTAGAGCTTTCTCAGCATTTTTTAATGGAATGTAGGGCCTGAGCTAAAAGATAAACCTCAGAAGTTAAATTATGGATAGACGGAGAGAGCCAGCTCCCCAATGTGTGGTTCCATTTTTAAGGAGTGCGGATGGGAGAGGGGGCTGAGACCTCTCTGTGGAGACATTCCCAAGCTTGTAAAGCCTGAGATAACTTGTTTTATCTCCCCCAGGACTTATATTTCTTTCTAAAGGCTGAGAGAACCCAAGATCCTTCCCAAGTTGAATTTGTTTACATTGAGGAGATAGGATTTCTCTCCTCCTCTCAGGGCAAGGCAGGGACAGCTGGCCCTCTCCTATATAACCGTACAGATTCATATTTTTTACATTTCTCACCTACAGTGTAGAGTAGACCAACTTTAAGACATCTGGTTCTCGTTATGGAGAGAGAAAATTATGGTATGGGGAACCAGTGCAATAATCTTATGTAAGTATGTAATAACCTATTCTGTTCCAAAAGCCTCATATTTGCATTCAGGATAATATTAATAAATACAGATATTAAAATTTTTAAGAGTCAGCTCAGATATGTGTTAAAGTAGATTCCAGATCAACTCCTCCCTTCTGTTCTCACAATTCTAATTCAGTAAGTCTGGGTGTCCAAGGATCTGCATTTGAACAGCTGCCCCAGTGATTCTTAGCAGACTGGTCCATGACCCAGGAGCAGAAAGCACTTCCACAGAAGACCAATCTGCCTCTGCTCGCATGCGTTAAGTTCAGTTACTCCTCTCCTCCATCGTTTCATAAGAAGTAGGTGGGT